AGAGAGAGAGAGAGAGAGAGAGAGAGAGAGAGAGAGAGAGAGTAGACGTAGCTCTAACAGATTAAGAATTATAATTATGTGCATAATTCTTTTCTTTCTCTTTTTTCTTTTCCCTTTCCTCTCTTTTTCTCTCTTCCATCTCTCTCAAAATGTATAAGAAATTCGGTACATGTAATAATTAAATTACCTATTAATTGAATTATTACATCTGCATTGTTCTGTTGCAGCGGCATTGGAATACACTCGCGATGTAATATGCGGTAAAGACCCGAGAAGATTTGCGCCGCGTAGATTGCCAGCAAAGCCGCTTCTTCCCAAGAAACTGTGAGTGCACTTATAAAGACGAGTTTGTAGAATCAGCACATCATCAAGATCTTGTTCACTGTAACGTAATCATATATCTTAATTTATTGTGAAATAAGACGTTCTTGATATGCATAATTTTTCTGTATCTATTCTGTATCTATTCCTAAAATATGATACAAATGATACTATTCTGTATTTTAATAAGTAGCTTTTTCTCATACAATTTCACAAGATTATGTTTTCAAAACTCAACATATGTGCATACCTTGCAGCAGCTAAAAACTTTTGGAAGAGTTTATTAGGAACGGTATGAGACCGATCTACGGTGTCTTCGTATAGATCTGTTTCTCTGTTATACAGATGCAAAAAATCAGAAAGTTGCTTGGCGGTGATGGCAGCTCGGTCTTTATCGCTTAACTTACTGCATGGTAACTATGGAAAACATTATTCATTCAAACAAATAATTCAACTATGCGATTTACTTCTGATATAAAATTGTCGTATTTTGGACATAGCGCAATACTTCGACAATAATAGATACTCGATTTATATACTTTAACTTAAAATTTGAAGAGTCCAGCGGAATTAATATGAGAAAATTTGCCCTAAAATAATTTAACAAAATAAATCTAAAAACAACTTATAGTGAAGATAAATACATTATGTAGAAACAAGATATTCATTTTCCTAAACCTGCCCGTTAGAATGCTACAATGATGAGTTTAAAAAATTGAAATTTACATCTCCCAATTAGTTAGACATAACGCAATAATAATGAAAATAAATGAAAAAGAAGTTTCAAGTGAAACATCATACAAACTTATCTTTCCAAAAAGGGTAAAAAAAGCACTAAAAGTACATCATACTCTTTGAAAACGAATTACTGTACCAAATTATAAAATCCAAATGGTACCAACTTTATAGTATCAAATTAAAAAGTAAAACCCAAGTAGTACTATTTTTATTACACTGTATGACCGATTTCAACTTAAAAAATTTTTCAAAGATCAGCTGGATGGATTTTACGATTGCGAATCCCACCGCTGCCATCAAATATGTTGTGTCAAGGAATTGAGCATAACAGATTCGGGATCCGCGGGGACTTCGACATCGGAGCTAATTAACTTTACACACACTTTTTTCAAAATCTTAAAATATTTTATTAATAAATTAATTTTATAATTTCATTTTTGTTTTCAATTACTTGATTATTCCCCTTAACGCATTACAGATTTTAGACAGACAGATGGAATTCGGACTTAGTGTCCTTGTGAGAATCCGGACTGCGAGCGAACGAATCCCGAATCGATGCTCTAGTCCGATTATATCCTCTCTTGGTTTCCGTATATCCTTGAGGTGCCTGTCATCAGCTTTCTCAGAATTCTTCCGAGGTCAGAAACATCACGCGGAAATATCTTTTAATTAAAACATGAAATGTAATGTTTTAATTAAACTTTTATTTATTTATTTTATTATTATAATGCCGCGACGCTCATGACAAATACCCCTATCTTTATATTATGCGCTATATCTGATTATGCGATGTAACTACTTTTATTTTGCAAACTCCTTAAGACCTATCCTAACGGAAGGTTTTTTTAAAAAGTTAAGGAATTAGGTAGCGTATTTATCTATTATATTAGTTATTGAGAGAGAGAGAGAGAGAGAGAGAGAGGGGGGGGGAGGTTATTTCGTTAAATTATCTTTGGGGATAATTTTACCGTACTCATTCCACTTATCCTTTGCCATTGTTAAAATGTTTTAGCGTTTTTTAAATAAATTACTTTATTATATAATAAGATATAGGGTACGGTCCATTTTTGGCGCTACAAATGCTTCGAAGCATTAAGTGGACCGCAGCCATAATGTTATTACTAATGCGTACCGTAAATAAAAATGGTGTTCTCAAACTGCAAGACGAATGTTGGAGAAATTTCATAACAAGATCGCAACATACTGGATCTACATTAGGCTGTGATATTTTCCGTAATATATAACCTAGATATAAACCGAAGGCTCTCCTTGCTTCACCAGAACTGAAATATTGTCGTATAATTTTTTTTATGCAGATGGGAAAGAAAGATAAAAAAACAGATAAATTAATTGAACAATATTCAAGCAATTGAATACTTGGCTAATTGATATTCATTACACGAATAAGAATGTTAATAAAAGTCGACGTGTAAGAAGATGTGTAAGCTATTAGTTAAAAGTCGCTTGTTACGTTTTATTAAAGACGCAAGTTTATTTATAAAACATAATCTAACGAAATAATCTAATAAGTAACTTTTAATAACTTACACATCTGTTTACATGCATTTACAATGATTATAGATTTTAAGACATACTAATTGCACTGAGGATGAGCCAAAACAGAGGATCGAAACGTTTGTGATATTTTGATTGACTTTTATATTTGAAATAAAATAAGAAATACACACTAACAATATGCTCTTATTGGCATTCTTACTCGCATATTGATTTAATTTATGAGAGCTTGTAACTTATATTGTTTAATTGATATCTCATATGAATTTTAATAACAAACCTTAACTTATTGCCTTCTTGCATTGATTGCAATACTTGACTTTTATATTTATATACATCTATAGCTACATTCTCTTTGTTGTTCATTCTGTCCAAGCTCTGTTTGTGGCCTTTCACTAACGCTCTTTCATATCTTTCGTACCTATAAAGAAATGATTAATTACTAACTTTTACGGGATCACATAGTTATACAAATAAAGCTGTAGCAATGCATCGTAATGTTTTCGCAGATTCACATTTTGTTTTTTTTTGTCATTTTTTATAAAATATTAACTGTCATATTTATGACAGTTAATATTTTTTAGTAACGTTTAGTTTTACGTTTAGTTATATGATCCTATCTATGAAAAATTTGGAGAAATAGATACTCAGTATTATACAAGGTGTCCCAAAATTCGAGACTCAAAGTATTATAACATATAAGTTTTCAAAAAATTAAATAAAAAAATTAGTTGTAAATTTTTATTTTAAGCAACGTCTTCTGAGATATAACGATTTAAATGTGATCAATTACTGTCAAGGCATTAGTTTCTGGTCGGTTAAGGAACATTCCTATGTTGCCCTCAATATTTTAACGTAATAAAATATGAAAATATAAATTTTTTTGTTTTCAAACGATAAAGCAACATTCAAACTTTAATTAGAAAAATAATGTAATAACCATAATTAAGTTGATAATGAGATAATATCGTCGTAAATTATTTGGAACTAATTTTTTATCGATATTTTACTCTCAGATTCAATTTCTGATCAGGTCAAGGACTATAGATTCTGATCATAGATATTTTGTAACATAAAAAGACTAAGAACTCAAAGAACTTCAATTTCTTTACTATTATTTATATTTTTTTGTAATATACTATACATAAATTTGTGAAATAAGTAAAATATGGATACTATATTAATTTATTAATATAATTTCTATACTTTTATTAATATAATAGATTAATATATTTTTACGACTGACTGCTATTAATATATCATTTCCATATTAGTAATATAATAGAAATGTGAACAAAGTAACATTTTTCTTATGTTTCTTATGTTTTAGTTTTGTTTAGAAGCTTTTTTTTATTTTCTTCTTTTCTTTCTCTTCTTTTACTTTTGATTCTCTAATCTTAATTCCATTCTCAGTCTTTTCTCTTCTATTTTTTTTCCTTTTTTCAATTAGATTTCGGTGATATTCTCTCCATTCGTCTGATATAGACATTGCAGGAATTTAATTTTTTTTTCTTTTTTAATTCCTGTTTTTGTTTGGGCCAAAATAGACACCTCTTAAATGAAGATGGCACCTTCAGGTCATCTGCTGAAAAATTTATATACAATATAAATAATCATATTTTATTGTGATTATAGATTAATTATCTCAAAAATTAATAAACATACTTTTTTTAAGAGATTAAAATCGGATAGCCCTTTCATTCAGATATGCAATTAAAATAAGATTTTGCCTTGAATTTTTTTCTTCTACATTTAAACACTCTGCAGCTTTCACATTAGTTTTGTACTCAAATTTTCATCGCCAATAATTGATGAATTTGCAGTTGAATATAGATTCTCAATAGAAACATCCTGACTTCCATCACTCGAACAAGCTTGTGTGGCTAACTAGTAAAACTCTGAAATAGGATTCCATTCGACTGTTTCATTTTCATGGATAATCCAAATAATGTGTTCATTCATAGGTGCATATATCGGAATATCAATGTTTCCTTAAGTAGTTTTAGGGGGGGGGGGTGGTCTCCTATTTTGTAGGATTAAAAAAAGTTGATTTCTTTTTTACACATCAATAGTATAACTCTTCGAAAATATATCCCTAAAACTTTAGAGTGAAATTCGAAGACCTTCGATATAAATTCAGCATTTGTATATACGAGTACACAGTGCGCAGGTATAATAAATAATAAAAAAAAATTTTTTTATTATAGTTCTAAAGTACTCTCTTGAAGCCATTCAATTTTCATTTTCGAAAATTTTGTTCTATCTTTTATATTATAGTTTCGATGATATTCGCTTCGAAAAAAAAAAAAAAAAAAAAAAAAAAAAAAAAAAAAAAATTTCGAGGGGGTATTTCACCTCTTAAATCTCGAGACAAGCATTCAAAAAATATGGGTCTAATATTTTTTTATGCTCTACAACATATCCAAAGTACTAAGTAGTAAACTTATTAAAATCGAGTCCAACTGATTTCTTTGATAGTAGCACGAGAGAGGCCCGAGTACGTAGAATGGAACATATTGGAACATATATCAAAATGCATTCCATGAGGAAGTTGAAGGATTTTTGTATGCTTCTGAAATAGCAGATTTTTGTCTTAAATCTGACTAATTTCTGTTTTTCTTCTTCAAGATATTCTATTAAATTATTCTCAGAACGAAATATATACAATTACCTTCATTTCATAAGACACGTGCAAATAACAAGCTGATTGAACAAAAGATCTTGCTTATGCCCGATCATAATAGATGGCAGTAACATGCGTTTCTTTCTAAACGTTTATTTTGTCGAATTTTTCGTCATAAAAATGCGCTCAATTAGAACTTCCATATTTACATCTGAGGAGTAAACTTCCAAAATGCACTTCAGAGCCTTTCAAATGGTCACATCATCGTGTCCCCACCAAGATTTCAACAGTAAACAGGCCCCTCTCAATTTTATCCCCTCCAACACTACTTTCTAATCTTCCCGGCACACAAAGTTTAAAGCTGTCGCAAGTATGCAAGTATGCAAATATAACTCTTAGGATTAATAGAGATCCCAAACGAAAATAGAATAAGTCATAAATATTCTTCTATAGGCTTTTTTTGTTTTTATTTCTTTCTCGGTATAATATTCACATATAATATTTATTTTTCAATGAAACTGTGCCTGACTGTTATACGCCGCGTCACCGCATTGGCAAGGGGATTAAGGGCCCGCAGTGCCCGGTTTGGAAGGCTCTGATGTACTTTGTCCAAAATTTGATTTTTTTAGTTAGAGGTGGCATAGTGTTTAGTTTAGAAAGATTCATATTTTAAGTTATTCTACGATATTCTGAAAATATTTTTTTCATTATCAATTTGTGTTGAAAAACGTCTAGACATTCGAAGTGCATTATATCCTTTAACTAGAAACAAACAAAATATATTCGTTTAACATTATTAGAAATAGTTTAGTAATTTTAACATTTTACATCTTACTGATTGACAAATTGTTATTTTTTGTAAGGCACGTGGTTTCCTTGTAGCTTTTTTTTCGGAAAACTATATAAATTTTAGGCAAAATGCATTTTGAAAGTCTCCTTCTCACTTATTATTAATTAGAGTAATTCTCTCTCTATGTTCAATTTTATTATAAATATTTTTTGCAATGAATATTTATGACGGTAAATGCAATAAAATAATTTATTCACCAAACTGATAAAAAATTAGGGACCTACCAGAAACTAGTGCTTTGACGATATGTATAGACGGTCATCTGTAAACGTAGATGAGCGCTCAATACAATCTTAATACTACTGCATGTGCAACGTTTTTTGGACTGGCGGGTGTTTAAACGTAGTCTGTAATCGGCCATACTTAAATAATACAACACACACACACACACACACACACACACACACACACACACACACACAACACTCTTTATATCTAAAAAATTACTAATTAAAATAAAAAATTACAAATAATTTTTTAATTAATCCTCTGAGAACTTTTGTGCTAGAGTATTTTGAGTCGCGAATTTTGGGACATCCTCTGTACTTTTATTTTTGACAACTTTAATATATTATTCATAATCACGATTTTAATACATTTACAGACGTTGACATAAACTTATGTCTTTTTAAAATCTATAGCAAATTGCCGCTGGCAAGGAAAAAGACATTAAAAATGTAAAGAAAAGTCGAGTATATTTTGCAATATCTTTACACAAAACAATTTTATAAATATTGTAAGGTTAATTTAAATGCGCAGAGTGATATAATGTACGCGCCCATCGCGTGGAGTAATACGATCAAGGAATAAAAAGTTATTTTTTTTAAATAACAAGTTACCGAGTAGAAAAAGTAACACGTTACTGTTACTAGTTACCGAATTTTAAAAGTAACTCGTTTAACAGTAACAGTTATCATTACTTGAGAAAGTAACTTCTCGTTACTTTTTTAAAATCGACGACCAATTACAGTGGACGGATGCTTAGAGGCTTTCTATGTCTCAAGCGCTATAAATGGCTTTGTCTATTCGAACTGTGTCCAATCGTGCGCAAACTAACAATAAAAGTAACTGTAAAAGTAACTGTAATGATAAACTGTTCATTTACCATTACCAAAAAAATGTGACTACGTTACCGTTACAATTACTAAACAAAATAACGCGATTTACAGTAAAGGTAACAAAAAAGTAAAGATTTCAATCTCCAGGAAACTTAAGAATAAAACATTACTCTGGTTCAACTCAAAACCAAAATACACAAATATAGATTGGTTATAGAGATCAGTCGAAATGAAAATAATAATTGATCATCGACCGAGAAAATCTGCCCGGCGGAAAGAATTTGAAAAACGAAAGTGAAGTAATTATGCATATTAAGGGCGACCTCATAGATTTCAAATGATCTTGACATATATTGTCAAGGATCCCAAGTGATCTCCAACAGATTTTAGACGTTATTCATTAAAAAATTATTAATAAAATAAGTTTAAGAAATAACATCCTTTTTTATAGTATAAAACAAAAATTCTGTTTAAAAATAATTTTTTTTTGCTTTAGAAACAAAAATTTTCTTTAAAAACGTTATCTTTTTATATAATTTTTGTTTTTAAAGTAAAAAGTTTTTGATTTTGCAACGACTTTACGCGAAACAAGATTCGGTAATTATATAGAATGTGACCTTTTCCGAATTTCAATATTTTTTGGCTACAATGTTGATAACAATTTTTGTTATGGTTCAGATAATGATAATAAACTAGGGAAGGTCTTACCGTTAAAACAGATTTTAAAACAGAAAAGTTTTGTTTTATGTAGTAGAAAAAAGATTATTTTTTAAACTTATTTTGTTAACAACTTTTTAACGAATAATGAGCGGCGACTAAAACTTGTTGGAGATCACTCGAGATCATGACCTTAACAGCATATATTAAGGTCATTGAAATTTGTGTGATCGTCTTTAATATATACAATTACCAAAATATGTTAATTGTTATTAAATACTAAAATATTCAATTAATTTTTTCAAAAATGTATATCATAAATTTTGAGTTTTTTTACATTCTAATAATCTTCTTGTTCATAATTATATATTTTTTCTATTTGGATTTACAACAGGTAAATTTTCTTCAATATTTCAAACAGCAAATAGTTACAAATAAAATAATTTGAAGTAAATATAGTTTTGATTTCCATAACAATATATTGCGACAATTGGCTATAGGTTTAAGTTCATTACATCCGTTTTCTAGTTATAAAAAAGTAAAAAAAGAATTATCGATTAATATAAAAATATTAATAACATATGATCAAAATCATTGGAATGTATAATACTGAAAAATTACTAAATTTGAGTTTTTATAGAAAGAGTAATAGTGAATAATTCGTGAATAAAAATGTAGTTATTATAATTATATAAAACAAAAATTTCCTCATACCTAGATAATCTATCTAATATGACTTCTGAAACAATGTAGCCAGTAATGCGATTAGCTGCAGGAAACAATTGTTCATGCAACATTAGATTATGGTTAGTATTAATATGTTGCGGTAATCTCCTTGGACCTAGCGGATCCGAAATCATTGGTGCACCTGTAATTGAATCTAAGACATAGAATGGATAAAAAATATCATTTTGTTAGGACATATTAACTTTGGAAAATATCTTGACACTTTTCTGTACGAATTTATTATCAAAGAAATATTATATTTACCTAAGTACTGTGAGTAGAGTTCCCAAGATTTCGGACTTGGAAATATTCTAACGAATCCACCTCTTCTCTCAAATTGTGCTTTTGCAGACGCTACTATTCGTTGTTGATCTAAATTTAAACCTACTTTACTTTTATTATTTCTAATATTCTTCCTTTCTTGAGGCAATGTTTCTGCAGACTGCACTCTTCTATACTAAAACAAGAAAACAACGTTTTGCTCATAGTCGATTAATTATTCTTTATATTTAATGTTTTTGATACCTCTTACAAATTCTCTAATATTTTGCAAAATAAAAGAAATGTGACCTTTCAGAACAACGGAAAGAAGAGAGAGCGCGCGAATAATAGGGTAAGTATATAGAATCCCAATGGGTAGGAGGGAAAACATGAATAAAATGGTATGTAGGACACTGCAACGAGAGGAAGAGAGGGAGAGCACGAATAAGATGATAAATACAGGACTACAATGGAAGGAAGAAAGAGCGAATAAGATGGCAAGTATAAGATCGCAATGGATGGGAGAGAGAAAACTGCAGTTTACAATGGGTGGAAGAGGAAGGACAATGGGTTGGAAAGAGAATGCAATGAATGAGAGAGTGAGAGAAAGAGAGAGAGAATATGAACCCTATCTCCTTCTACCGTGGACCCCGGTAATGTTAGCCCCTTGCTGCAGTTCTCATGCCCAGTGACGTCGCCTCGAACCTCGCGCCAGTGACATACTTCCTCCTCCTTTGTCCTCACACACACACACACACACACACACACACACACACACACACACACACACACACACACACACACACACACACACACACACACACACACACAGAGACACACGCGCGCGCGCGCGCGCGCTGTGACACTGTGTAAGAATTTAGAATCTCCATAGCTAAGCTATTTGTGTGAACTATTAATATAATGTTTTTTAGGCTTTCACGGTTGTTATCTTTAATTATGAGAAGAATTATCGCCATGTTTTTGTCCATTACTAATGCCAACGTTTCGTGAACCTTGCCATCAGGGTGAGCAACGCATTGATACTGAGCTGCTCCTCTGGGAAACTCCCTTTATGTAGACGCTGCAGAGGGAAATGAGGGTTGGGGAAGGGGGAAGGTCTTCTTTGGTTTGTCAAAAGAGCAGTTTTCCATATCCTACTTACATCATAACCTGAGTCTCTGTTCGAATTGTCTGGATGTTTCTATATTTCTGTGACCTCTCTGTACTTCCTTAGGAAATATGACATCGTTGTAGTTATAGCAGTTTTGTCGAATAATATTTGATGTCCTGTCTCAATTCTGCCAATACTGATTGCGTGGCATGTTTCAGCCTGACATCCCGTTTATGTTCCTTCATGCACACGTTGATCATTCTTCTGGTTTCACCGATGTATACTTTCTCGCAAGAACAAAGTATTTTGTATACTCCTGCGGAATTGAGTAGAAGTCTTTGGTCTTTAGAATTTCTTAAGATTTTCCTTGGAAACTTGAAAATGATTCGAATGTTGTTTGTTCAAAATCCTGCTGATTCGATCTGTTCTTACATATGGAAGAATAGCTTCTTTTGTTTAACTCTTCCTATAGTTATTGTGTGTCCCAGTGGTTCTTTGTCTTGCTCCTATGTTTGCTGATTGTACCATCCACTTCTTTCTTATTGTATCCGTTCCGCTGTAAGGTTTGTTTTAAATGGTTGAGTTCTGTTTGTAGATACTCCTTATCAGAGATACTGAATGCTTTATGCACAAGTGAGTGTACTGCCGACTGTTTTTGTGCTGGATGGTAGTGCGATTCGGCATGTAAGTATCTGTCAGTGTGTGTTGGCTTTCTGTATATTTGATGGTCTGGGGTATTATCAGTCTTCTTTGTGACAAGAACATCCAGAAAGGGAAGCTTACCATTTTCTTCTATGTCCATGGTGAATCGAATACTAGAATGTTGGTTGTTGAGAAAGTTTAAAAATTTATGAAGTTCATCACTGCCATGTCTCCAGATTACGAAAATGTCGTCTACATAACGGAACCGATCTTCTGATTATTGGCCCCTTCCTCAACATACCCTCATTTCTCTCTACAGCGTCTACATAAAAGGAGTTTCCCGAAGGAGTAGCTCAGTATCATCTAAATCTCATCGTTTATGAATTATTACATTGTGAATTTCTGAATGATTTTATAGGAGATTTGGCACTTTTCGATAATCGATATTTTTGTGACAATGTTCTTGAAATTGCAACTTGACTTTTCTTAAAAACTTGGCAAGGATATCACCTGAATACAACAAAAGATGAAAGCGATGAAAGCGTTTGTATATTTTTATTGAACACCTTGAATCCATGAATAAACGTTATCTTTACCCGCATCTATAGTGATTCCAAACTATTTAAAGAACTTGCAGATTCAAAATAACGATCATAATTCAAAAGAGATACGTAAACAAGAAATAACAATATGAATCTAATAATAATAGACTTATTGGGAAAGAAGGGAGAGTTAGTTGTACAAAATAAATATAGGTCCTAAAGATTTTGGATAATTATTTACAATAGGACCTTTTCTTAATTTCGACATTTTTCGGCTGCAATGTTAATAACAATCTTTGCTATGATTCAAATAGTGATAATAAATCGGGGGAGATCGCAAAATATACACTTCTATTCGAGTAATAATATACTGAGTAATAATGACTATAGAGCTCGGACTATTCGCCGACCGACGTATCGATTCGAGTCGACTGTAGTTCTTCACGATTCTTCCCACTGCCAAAAGCTATCAAAAGCTGTGGTGAGCGACGGAGTGATGGCGCTACAGAGCTAGGAGATGAGGTGTAGTGAGGACATAGCTAGTTACAGTTGACAGGTCCTCAGAACATTAATCCGGCTCTAATAATGACATTCTAAATTCGTGCGTCCCTAAGCAGAGAGGAAGGTGGGAGTCGCTTCGCGTGAAAATCGTGCACCTCTAAGCAGGGAGGAGATGAAGTGGGAGTTGCTTCGCGTCAAAGTCGTGGGTCCTTAAGCGGGTGGGGGGAGGGGGGGGGATAGGAATCGCTACGCATGGACAGTCGTGCGCCCCTATGCGGGAAGATAAGGTAGAATGAATAATTTAAAAAAATAGATAAGACTATTTTTCGACCTCCCGACTTATTATCACTATTTGAATTATAACAAAAATTATTATCAACATTGTAGTCGAAAAATGTCGAAATTTGGGAAAGGCTCTATTGTAAATAATTTCCAGATTTTGTTCTAATCGTGAATGAAGAGAAGTAAAACATGTAGAAACGTTTGATCTTTTCACTATAATATAAACTGCCGATATTTGCATTATCTAATGTGCATGTGAAGATTGAATGTCATAGATTCAATATGCTGGATGACAGCACATGTTTTCATCGATTTTGTCTTGATGTATTGTAAGTAATACCCTTTGTAAATTTTTTAAAAAGATTCGTGAAGTGGAATTCCAATTATATTATCCAAAAAATTTCAATTATCGAATAATACAAAATTCCCTATGAATCATTTAAATTAAATATGTAATAATTCATAAACGATGAAATTTAGAATCATATTTTTTTGGGGCCGCTTATGAGGCCGATATGGAGGTACATTTCCTTTTTAGGCTACGTTCCAAAACTTCCTTTCCGAGGACAATTTTACTCGAAATGTATAGTATACACATAACGTATACTATAGCATATAGAGTAAAATCTTCCTTGGAGAGGAAGTTTTGGAACATAGCCTTAGTTTTGTTTGAATTCAGAATTAAAAATGGTTCTTATCGCAACATCTTCGTAAATTACGTTTTTAAATTTAGTTTTAATATTGATTATTAAATATTAATTGTAATTTTAAAATCAATACATTTTACTTTTGCAGAGCATTAAAAGAAAGTAAAAAAAAATAACGAAAAAAACTGTTACTTTTTAAGTAACGCTAACAGTAACGTATTATATTTTTTTGGATAACCGCATTCTTAACCTTGAAAATCATCCCATACAACACAGAATTTGCAGTAATTATCGCTGCAAAATCTCTGCAATATTGCTACAACATGCAGCGTTGCTGCAACTTTTGTGTAACTTAGTGCTGTAGGGGATTAATTGTTTAACATATCTATAACTGAATGTATAATCGAATCTAAATTTTAAATAATTTAATATTTAATCAATACCCAGTGAACGCAAGTTACATGTAGTTATAATTTCTCACTCAACAATATAACTGTAACATAACATACGTGTTATATTATTGAAATGGGAAATTACAACTAGCAGGTACGTTACATATAATTTTGTATTCACTGAGTGTATTGTGTATAGATGGAAGATAAATATGATGGAAGATTAATATGAATAATTTAAGAAAAATAAAAGCAAAATAGCTTACATTAGTTATCTTTTTATCGGAATTTATGGCAGCACGATTTAAATTTTGAGAGCGCAGGATTGGATCGACAGCAGCTATGCCGACGAGAGTAAGCAAATCTGTTATTAAAGCTGACTTGAGTCTAACATCTAGTGGTGAATCACATCCCAACGAGGGGGTTAAATTTACTTCCAATAACCACGGCTTCAACATATCGTCAATCAGTATATCGAAGCCAAATAGCTCTAAAACATACATGTGTGATATACATATGAAATACTATATTTCTATTTTATATCTTTCTCTAATATAAAATAATATTTATCACAAAACGATCGTTTTTTTTTCGTTGAATTTACATATTAAAAATAATTTTTATAAATTGATATTTGTTCATATCGTGAGTATTAGCTATTTACGCAGGGTATGACTAAAATAAGGTAACAAATTTCGGAGCTGAGCGTCCCACACCAAAACATGAAAAAAAGTATATGAACATATGTTCGCAAACTCAATGTTACTGAGACATAACTCAAAATCTTTAAGTATTATGTACTGACCCCCCATGATTTAAACCCCTTAGATTTTTATCTATGGGAACACTTGAAGTCCTTAGTTTATAAAGTTCTAATCGCCAATGAAGATATTATGTTAACGCATTTTTGATGATTATAAACATTCGCAATTGCCACGAGAACTTTGAAAGAATGCAACAGTCCATGATTCGACATGTCCAAGCGTGTATAGAATCAACTAGAAGTCACTTCAAACATTTGTTATAATTAAAAATTGAAAATGATATTAAATATTAATAAATATCACTTTCTATTTTCTCCTATATTAATAAACATTTTGAGCTATATCTCAGTGAAAATGAGTTTGCGGATGTAGCAATGTTTATATAAACTTTTTTGTGTTTTGGTGTAGGGAGTGTATCACATATTCAAACTTGAAGTTTGTTAACCATATTTTAAATTACACTCTGTATATTATGTTAAAAAACATCAAAGACATTATTTGAGATAAATTATTACCGAAACATGTCTCGGGGTATTTCACGAATTGCTTTAAACCGCTGACGATTCCAGATGCAGTAGCAAGAATTGACTTTATAATAATATCTTCTATTCGCTGCATAAGCGATTCCGTATCTTGACCCATTGAGCGTAAATGTCTAAGTAATGCCGATAATGTCCATTTATGTCCTACATCCTCGGCATCGGGATCTTCACTCCTAGTCGGATATAATTATTAGATATTTTTCTAAGTAATTTCTATGTGAAATTTTTTTAATTCAGTTATATGATTGTTTTGAAGTTAAAAAATGTTTTTTGCTTCACTTTATTATTTTGTCTTCCCTTCTTTCTTGTGTTTTTTCATTCTCGTTTTTTTATTTATTTGCATTGCTAATATTGTATAAATTACAATATTTTCTTGACGTAAAATAACAAAGATTGTACTATTATTTGCATTATAATATAAGAATAATTATTTGAAACTTTGGCAAGACAAAAACAAGCAAACATGTACTGAAAATTTTGTCTAAGTAAACTTTATTACAAAACTTTCTCAAAATTTTAGCATATTTAACTATTTAAGTTATTACTTTACATAAATAGAAAATATATGTATCTTTTATCAATATAAACAATTTTATCCTAATCATTTAATATATATACAATATATACATATATTTATTTTAAAAAAATAAAAAAATATATATTTATACTTATATATATATATTTATACTAATTAAAAAAATATATATTTATACTTTATCATACAAATATAATAATTTTCTCTTAATATATTTAATATTAATTTGTTGTAATTAATATTAGCTTGCTAATTTACTTGTTGTATAACTTACTTTACATAATCCACGTGGAACTTGTTTATACTATAGTTGCAAAGATGCATGCAAGGATTCCAAACATATTCACTTCCGCCATCATATTTAACAGCGGCAAATCTCACTAAACCTTCCTCATATAAATAAATTAGCAGGGGATCGTAATTCGTTACAGCTACGTAAAGGCGCAAATCGCATTTATGTCCGTCGATTAAAAGCGGATTATTTATGTATTGCGCCACAATAACCGATTCATCTGTCAGGATCTTCTCAGGCTATAATAATATAATAAAAAAAAATTAGATAAGTGAATGGTATAATGTTATATACTTCGCAAAATTATCAGTTTTATAAAACACAATTCATATACAACTTGATGTAGTCCAAACATCAAGAATATACAACATTTATCTGTTATTATATTTATCAATAAATATACTATTGGCTAATTGTACGCCCAAAAGCAATTTAAAAATATTATTAGTATACAATTGCTAAATTAAAATCATTGCTAAATCACATCATTAAGGGGATGCTGGCTTGAGTGCCGGCCGAACTTGATCGATGTCGATAGTACCTACAGATTTTTTAAATTCCAGATAAAAAAAGTCGATAATAGTGACATCCTTAATTTATTTCTTACATCATTGTTCTGTCTCACTCAAACGCATATAGATACAGTAGATCCTATCATGGAATAAAGTCAGAATGGATTCCGATCGCGACCGTTTTCCCCAGAAAACGCAATCTAGGGAATGATTGAATAATTTCGATTGGAATTCATTCCGATTTTGTTCCATGATGCTCTGCTTCGCGTAGAAAGACGCGCGTTCCCCACGGGAGGGAGGTGGGTGGACCTCTCTTCGAAAGTCGTAAACCCGTCAATATATGGCAGAAATAAGTATTATTTTTTAAACTTTATTTATTAATAACTTTTGATCGAACAGTGACCGCCACCTAAAACTTTTTGAAGGTCACTCATAATCATAACTTTGACAACATGTGTTAAGATCAAGATCATCGGTTGTCAAATGATGTCCGTTTATCCGAATAATTATCGAAATAACTATCATAAATAATTATAATTATTATAAGAAACTTTTACTAATAAACTCTCTCAATATATTTATATAAGAAACTTTTACTTAACGACAGTTTAAATAATGTAAAAAAATTCATAAAATACTGAAGTGTGTCTTACATTATTAACAATATAAATGCCACGGCCTCGCGAACTAGCTTTAGGCTTGACAATCCAAGGCCCTCTATATCTGAAATGCGCCGAAATCAACTCTCTGGCTTCAGTAGGCAGTAAAAATGTCTGAGGTATAAAATCAAGATTTCGAAGACCCTTACTTCTTTGCATAGCTTCGATATTTTTATAAAGGCGATCTTTTCGGGTAATTTCGTACGATCTAAAAAATAGATATTTAAGGAAGGTCAAGTTAATAGCCATGAAGATTTTACATTATATTCTATAAAAATTTAAATAAAAATTTTCAAAGTTTATATAAATTATTTATGACTATTTAAATCCGTAAAATATTATCTTAGATTATGTGAAAACTGTTTCTTAATAATTCACTCTTACCTAGGAAAATGATTTATTTTTTGATAAGGCATCAAATTTCGCAAGATGTCCGGTTTTGGATGACTTCCCATCCATAATATGTTAAAATCTGTCTCATTCATAGGTACCTAAAAATAAAGATAGAGAAATTTTTATTTGCAAAGATAAAATAAAAGTCTCTTGGATATTTCTCAATATTGAAAATTGTATTAGAAATAAACAAAAATGGTTTATTTTCTTTATTTCTTCATTAATATTTTATACACTTTTTCTTACAGAAACCTTTAAAATTTTTGGAGAAAATAACTTTTTAAATGTGCTCAAATAAATGTGCTATTTAGGATTATTTTCAAATTCGATTTCTTCATTCCTTTTCTGAGCGACTGTTTTTGTTTTTCAAACAAATGAATAACATCTTACTTCGTTATATCATAAATAAATAAAGTACGAAAAGCATATATTGCATGTGTATAATATTTAAACTGGCTATCTTCACTAACTTTTAAATAAAAATTTATATTGTATAAATGATTGATTTACTATATATAACTGATAACGCAGAATTAAATGTGTAATATTGGAATTCAAAAACTATTAGCACAACAAATTAGAAAATATGCAAAAAAACGTGGCTACGAAGCCTAATTATTCGGTATACTTTGTATATAAATGTATATGAAAATTAACTGCATAATATATTACTAAAACTGTACCTCCATTAGACCGTGTGATTGCAGCAGAAGATTAATGAGTTTAGTGTCAGTTTGAAAGATCTTGTAAGTCATGTGTAGCTGCTTCGCAGGTGGGTTTTCTGGTGGCGTTGCTAAAGCGGAACATCTGAGAAATAAGCAAAATACAGTTGCTTAAATATTCGTTTTAAAAATAAAAATCATCGAAGATATTCTTATATCAACTTACTTAAAGCGTAAAATGGGCATCTTGCTTCCATTTGGTCCATTCAATAACCATTCGTTGTTTATTGCATTTCTTGCATTCGTTGTGCTAGAAAAAAAGATATTAATAAAATATTACACAACACACGCACGCACGCACGCACGCATACATATATATACATATATGTATGTGTTTTTACACACACGCGATCATATAACGTGTAAGAGAATGTTTTCTCTATACATATCAGTTATTGCGAGGAATATTTCCGAAACCTCAGTGGTCGAGTTGGCTAAGATATTCGCCCTGGAAAGTTGAGAAGTCCCAGGTTCGAACCCTGGCTGAGGTAATATTTTTCGCAATAAGTTCTTTACAGTTCTTCTAACTTAATTTAGGAGGGATTATTAGCGTTTTAAACTGATTGTGTTGAAAGTCCGAAAGTTATCAGCGTGCAATCATATCTGAAATAAATTGATTTAATAAAGAATATATATATTGTATTATTCGAAACATCTAACTTTGACCACATTTGTGATGGTTCTGTATCGTATTTGATATATTGTATTTTTTTTTGTTGAAAATATATTCTTAATGTTTTATAGGAGGTACCATGGGTCATCGATTGTTTAACATAATCTAGAATGTTTAAATTAATACTACGTATAACACGACTGTTGCTTCATTATCCATACTTTTCATCTAGGTGGCAGTGATTAAATGCCATTGTATCGAAAAGCATCGATCATTAATCATTGGTTTTCATGGTGTAACTGTAACTTTTTAACCACATAAAAATGTTTTAATACTATTTTTGTAGTAGAAGATACATATATGAAGATAAGGTGCAAATTTTTGCGGATCTTTTTTAATCTTACTACGTTACAAGTAATAATATAACATTTATTTTTTATCGTTTTCTATTAAATGTGTAATTAAATGTATAATTGGGGTACCATTCATACATTAAATATTCATGCTTGATATCATCGAGTAAACGCTTCGTGTGTTTCTTCTTTCTTCAAGTGATTTTTAGTCACTGAATAATACTATTTGACAATAATTAATAATTATGAATCATCGATAATAAAACGGACTCTTAAGTGAGATAAATCAGTAAATTTCTCGTTTTCAAGTGAATAAATAGTTTGTATGTCAATCGAGCGTGAACGTTTTATAAGAAACGAAGTATTGATTAATTATAAATACTCGATCTGTGTGCATTCTGTGTCAATGGGAACGTATGATGTCTAAATTAAATTTCCAAAAGGAATGAAAGTTTAATTAACATTACATTTGTTATATAAACATTTGTTTGGAACTGTACGTGATCCATCGAAATGGAAGTTTTCCTTTTTTCTCAAACTGCAAATGAAGTTATCGAATTTTTACAAAGCTACTGTGTGCGTGCGTGTGTGCGTGCGCGCGTGTGTAGCGATCGTCTGATCGCAGCGAAAATGGGATTTTCGCTATACTGTATGCATCGGACAGTGAGTTACGCCGCCCCTGGCTACGTTTTCTACGCGTGCTGTCATTCACTATCTATTTCTTATTATTATTACTTATAACTATATTATAAGCAATATAACTTATGTGATACAAAATGTTCATATATAACAACATACATATGTAACAATTACATTGAATAAAATTACAATAATTTTAGTTAATTCTATTTATTTTTTGTCGCCTACATTTAAAGAA